ATGTGGTGCCTCTACATGATGGAGTTTTACTCAGTCATAAAAAAAGAATGAAATTATGTCATTTGCTGGTATATGGATGGAACTGGAGAACATAATGATAAGCAAGATAAGCCAGACTTAGAAAGTCAAGGGTTGAATGTTTTTAATGATTCCTTTCATATGTGGAAGTTAGAGAAAAAAAAAGGAATCTCACAAAAATAATAAGGAGACCAATGGGGATCGAGATGGAGAGAAGAGGAGAGAGTATGGGAATTACGGGGGAATGAAATTAACCAAATCATGCTATGTCCATGTATGAATATACCTCAGTGGATTCAGCTTTTATATATAACTATAATGTACTAATTAAAATAATAATGATGATAATAGAAAGGAGATCAGTAGATTACAGCAAGCAGATCAGGAGGAGAGATAAGGGAAGAGGGGAGGGAAAGCAAAGTACTAAGGAATGAGATCTATCAAATTATGTTATATGCATATATAAATATGACATAATAAATCTCGCTATTACATATAATTATAATGCATCAATATAGAAAAACTAAACTGATCATAGCTAAGGTATCAAAAAACCCTCTCAAGTTTATGACTCTAATAGTTAAGCAGTTGGACTTTAGTCTAATTCATTGAATTAATTTTTAACTAAGATCTGAAAAACAGTACTGAATAGAAACACCTCTTAGCTAATGGATATTTTTGCTCTTTCTGAAAAAAAAAAAAAAGGCAGGACTTTCTCCTGCCATTTTGTCTAAACAAATTGCATTCACAGTCAATGAAACACTGAGTAGGTTTCCACTAGAACATATTGTTTATGCTGTGTCACTGAGTGAAAGCCTTCCATGTGATTGTTCTCTTGGCTGGTTTCATTTAAAGTCTACTTGTCATTTTCTCTCCTTTTATTAACTGGTAAAACATAATGCAGCATATTTTCATAGCTCAAAACATAAGGATATTCTCCAAGCAACAGACACATCAGAGCCAGTGAGAAGCTACCAGCCAATTTCTTCTTCCTTATTAAAACAATGAGTTCATGCACCAGTGAACTCATTGTTTTACCTGCTGCACTGGCTTCTTATTCTTAACAGTAAGTCCACTCTGTCACATGACCTTTAACATCTTTCTCCCACTGCCACACATGGGTCCTTTCCGGTGCTAAGTCTGTGTGTAGCTACTACCTACACTGTTACTGGCTTCTTCCCCTAGATTCTCTGCCATGTCATCAGACCTCATGGACACTTGGCACTGAAACTTATTCTGTTTCTATCAGAACCAACTTCAGTAGTATGTATGCAGACCAATGGTACAGAATAGAAGACACAGAGACAAACCCACATAAATACAGTTATCTCATACTAGACAAAGGCACCAAAAACATGCAGTGGAAAAAAGATAGCCTCTTCAACAAACGGTGCTGGGAAAACTGGAAATCCATATGCAGTAAAATGAAACTAAAAATCCTGATCTCTCACCATGCACAAAACTCAATTCAAAGTGGATCAAGTACCTAGGAATTAGACAAGAGACCCTGCACCTAATAGACGAAAAAGTAGGCCCAAATCTTCATCATGTCAGATTAAGCCCCAAACTTTCTTAACAAGACTCCTAAAGTGCAAGAAATAAAATGAAGAATCAATAAGTGGGATGGATTCAAACTAAAAAGCTTCTTTGCAGCAAAAAAACAAAACAAAAACAATCAATGAGGTGAAGAGAGAGCCTAAAGAATGGGAGCAAATTTTTGCCACATGCACATCAGATAGAGCACTAATTTCCAGGATATATAAAGAACTCAAAAACTTAACACCAAAAAAGCAAACAACCCAATCAATAAATGGGCTAAGGAACTAACATACACTTCTCAGAAGAAGATATACAATTGATTAAGGAATATATAAAAATAATGTTCAACATCTCTAGTAATTAGAGAAATGTAAATCAAAACTACTCTAAGATTTCATCTCACACCAATCAGAATGGCAGTTATCAAGAATACAAACAACAATAATTGTTGGCAAGGATATGGGGGGAAAGGCACACTCATACATTGCTGGTGGGACTGAAAATTGGTTCAACCACTCTGGAAAGCAGTATGGAGATTCCTTAGAAAACTTGGAATGGAACCACCATTTGACCCAGCTATCCCACTCCTCGCTCTATACCCAAAGGACTTAAAATCAGCATATTATAGTATTATAGTACTATAGTAATGCATCAATGTTTATTGCAGCTCAATTCACAATAGCTAAACTGTGGAAGCAACCTAGATGCCCTTCAACAGATAAATGGATAAAGAATCTGTGGTATATATACACAATGGAATATTACTCAGCATTAAAAGAGAATGAAATTATGGCATTTGTAGGTAAATGGATGGAGTTGGAGAATATCATGCTAAGCAAAGTAAGCCAATTCCCCCAAAATCAAAGGCCAAATGTTCTCTCTGATAAGTGGATGCTGATCCATAATGGGTGTGGGGGGGAGATGGGAAAAATGGAGGAACTTTGGGCAAAGGGGAGGGAGAGGAGGAGAAAGGGGCATGGGGGCCGGAAAGACGGTGGAATGAGATGGCCATCATTAATCTAGGTACATGTATGTATGACTGCACATATGAGAAGTTGTGCTGTAATTGTGTATAATGAATCAAAATGCATTCTGATGTCATACATACCTAATTAGAATAAATAATTTTTTTAAAAAAATAGTGTGTATGCTCTCATTCATGCAAACAATTCTACTTGATTCAAGACAAATAACTGCTGATACAACAAAATGAATTTCCTCTTTCTGGGCCAAAGGATTAGGAAGACATCAGATTCTTCATTCTTGAATCCAGTAATTAAGCCACTCATTTTCTCTTTGCTAAATTATCTGTTTTGTTTTTTTTTTTTTTGATCAGTGCTATCTGTCAAACTTTTAAATAACATTGCTGTTTATAGGCATGTCATGTGGGGACCAAAACACAAACATAGGCAGTGTTATGGGATGGAATTTGTTCAGATCAAGGGCTGCTATGGGGCCAGAAATTGAGGCACTACTCAGAGCAACCTTAGGTAAAGTCAACACAGGTTAGAACCGAGTGACTCCAAGCATCACTGAAGGAACAGAGGCTGGGCCATGCATGTTAGCTATCTTTAGTCCATGGAGAGTGACAGAATGATAAGGGTTAGGGCTCAGAACAGCACAAGGCAGGACAAAGACCACTGCTCTTAAGTTATACAGAGCTCAGCTGTTTCTTTATATTGCATTTTTTAGGAAAGGATTTCCCACCAGCCAGAAGTGTTCAAAGGGAAGCTGACTGTCCATCTGACTGTGTTGTGGAAGAGGGAGATTAGAATGAATGAACTTCACCTTGTCTTTCAATACCAATATTCTAATATTTAGCAAGTTTTGCTGGTTTTCTTTGAAACTCTTTCATTTTCTGCCTGTTTTTAAAAAAGAGAATGGGATAAACATGCCTTTCTTATCAAACTCTTTGTGTCCACTAGATGACTGCAGGAGAGACTGTTATTGGTTCAACAAAATCTATTTTATCTTCCTCTTTAGGTATAGAGCAAGATGTACTTCCCAGACTCCTTTGCAAGTAGGTATACCACATGACCAAATTCTAGCCAATTAAATGTGAGAAAAGATGGTCACTACTTCTGGGTCCTGCATGCTCCTTTCTCCAATGAGTTGACTGGAACGGTCACCCCAGACTAAGGGCCACACACAACAGGTGGAACAAACTTTCTGTCCACTTCTCCCCTTCCCCCAACTAAAGTGTCCTTCCCAGGTGGAACAGTTGACTCACTGTTAAGTGAGCAACTATAAGCTTCCACTGTGTTTAAATCATTATGCATTTTGGGGTCAACATATTAAGGCAGCCTGGCCCATATTAATGTATTTAGAAACTCATATAACAGCACAGAGGTATTCTTATTTCTTCAGTTAGAACCTGTATATAACTTGTATTTAAAACATTACAATGTTTGCTTTTTCCTTACAATACCATATTCATTAAAATCTACTTGAAGATATTTAAACATTTTAAAATTAATTAGCCCATTTAAGGTGACAAATTGGATGCATTTACCCAGATTTCTCAATACACACTATTTAAATTTTCTTCATTTCTGATAACTCTTCAGTTTTTCTCATGTGGTTACTTTCACATGGAGTGCATTCTGCATTGTGGAAGAGCTTGTACTCAGTATTATGTCAATATGGACTTTTTAACCATTTCTCTGTAAAACACAGAAACCTTCTCTAGACATTTTCACAAGACTTAAATGATAAAATTATTTGATGGTTGGATAATATTGATGATGGATCACAATAGGATACATACAAAACAGATCTATAAGTAGACCAATAAAATAATGAGGTTTCAAAATGACCCCCACTATTGTGTTTAACTATAATGTGTGCATGTGCGTGCAAGTGCACACACATACACACACACACACAGTCATAAATAAAATAAAACTAATCCAGAACTACACATCCAAATAAGCACTATCTCCTACAAAATGGTCATTTTGGAAGTCTTATAATAAAAACAATTTTTTGGAATCCTTCTTTTGAGTAAATTCAGTATTTTATATTTATACTTCATCTCTCTTTCTCTCTCTCTCTCTCCCTCTCTCTCACACACACACACACACACATACACACACACACAATTTCCAAATAATATTACCCAGCATGACCAGTGAACCATCATATTCATGAGAAACATATATTTTAATTATTTTTTTTCTAAAAATCAGTTTGGTATGAATTCACTAATAAGTGAGAAAATAAAGACAAACATTTCCTTTTCCTTTTGAAGGCCCTTTTCTCCCTTGAGAATTCAATGCCATGCTTCATATTTTCAGAGATCATCATCATTCTTCCCAAGAACACTCTGTTACTCTTTAATCATAGAACTTCTGTAATTACTGGAAACACAGACCCACAAATCAATTCATCATACATGTTCGGTTAAAGGAAAATAAAAATACAAAAACATCTATATGTCTCACCTCCCATCAAACCTGTGCTTCAGGAAATCAAAGAGGGCTTTCTGCATCATGTCTGTTACCTTTGCAGAGGTGAGAAAAAAAGAATGAGGCAAACACACGCAGAGAGAGAGGTCAAAAGTGAGAGAGGTGGAAGGGAGGGCACTATGTCCCAGCAGAGACCTTATCACAGCCTAAGGGAGGTTCCCAGGGAAGGTGCTTTCCATGCATCAGGAAGTGCAGTTGCCAATTTCCCCCTTGGTCCTCCTCCAGAGTGCTGAGGAATCAATCAGCAGTGTTCATCAGCCCAAGGCAAAACTTCTTCCCCTTTCCCTTATTAGCGGGTAGAACTGCTGCCAGGAGACAGCAGGCTGGCTTTGGTCTGGAGTGCTGGCCACCCTGGGGGCGCCTGAGTTGTGCTTGCCTAAGGCAGGGCCTGGGCCCAGCTGTCCTGTTAGTCTGTGCAGTTGCTGCAAGTTCTCCATAACCAGGGCAGACCTTTGTTCTGTTCATCACTCTGACATTTCTAACCCAGAGGAAGGCAGAGAGATGGAATTCTTAGATCTGCTTCAAGAGATTAATTAATTCATTCAACCAATGTGCAGTAAGTGCCTACTATGTGAAGACATTGTCCTAGGTTAGTGGAAACGGTGTCTTGCAGGTTGCCTACCTTCAGATTCAAATGTCACATCACACCTGTTTTGTACCTGTGCTAACTCAAAGCCCAGAAAGCAACATCTGAAATGTCATGTATTTAAGTCTCTACTCTGTCTTGTTTCATAGTACTGTTTAATTCATCTCTAGGGTTCAGTAATGTTTTAATTTTTTTTTTCTATATCTGTCCTTAAAAACAAATAAGCCTAAAAAACATTCGGTGGAATAAGCCATAGTGTTATTTACCCAGTAGGGTGAAATTGGTTGGTGCTTTCAGTGTTTGGGTTTTCTGGAAGACTGCTTATCTATTCCCTTGTGCGGATCATTCTCTATTGTTTCTAATAATAATGGGAATGATTGAGACAAATACAGTCCTTTTCTTTGAATTTAATGCAGAGCAAATCTTTTACCAGAACTTCCCATTGTAAATGATTTGAGGGAGACTATTTCTAAACAATGTAATGCATAAAGATGAGAAGTGTGCAAGAGAGGAGAGAAAGGACAAAGGGTCACAGAAGCCCCATGTAGTGCCACCCGCCTTCACATCCTGAGAGCTGGCTTCCATTAGTTCTTACATAATGAGACCCTGGAGGAGCAAGTGCACAAAGGACCATGTCCTGGGTTCTCTGTCAAGAACTGAAGAGTAACAGATGATATTTGTACCTCATAACCTTTCAGTGACGGCCCCACTAACACCACCGGACGCATTGATGGCACAACATCATAAGGAGGAATGTGCTCCGTCTGAAAGAGATGATTCAACATGCGTGACAAGGTGAGGCTGAGCACGCCTCCTCCATAGCCACAACATTCACAGTTCTTGGGTTGAGCCATTAATGATAACCAAAGGTCCCCACTGGGGAGGCTCAGCCCTTACTTTATAGCTATGTGGGTTACTGAGATGGAGATTGCAGGCATGTATGTACAGGAGCCTTAACAGTAAGTTTAAAAAGGAAATACAACTTACCACTTTTTGCTTCTGTTTTGCTAAAAGACAACAATGAGAGCCATATCAAAATACGTAATCTCTGTAAATGATAGTACATGAGTTAACAGAGGGATGAATGTACCGTTGGTCCTTAGTCATCCTTATTGCTTCCCTATCACCCCTCTGGGGAGCTCTGCTCCTTTATTTCATTCTGGACATGTCACTTTTGAAGACACATGAGAAACAGGTGATTCTCCCTGTATAAATGACCTTGTATCCTGATTTTGAGTTGGTGGGGTGGCGGAAGGTTTTGGCTCCCCATTAACCTCTAGGTTGTTCCAGAGCCGAGCACAGCACACAGTTTGGCTGAGGACAGCTGGTCAAATAAAACTTGACACAAAGAAGCAATAATGATTTGAGCAAAAATGACCATCACCTCAATCTTGTCTGTTTATAACTTTGGTGAACCATGAGATAATTCTTCAAATGTTTTTTGGCCATTTTCTGGAACACTAATACTTTCTTTCTACCATGTTGTTTTTAAACTTCAAATCCATTGGTGACTAGTTATTCCTGGTTTTTCTTGTTTGTAATAGGGAAAAGCTGCCACACCCTTCAAAGCCCAGCAAATGGGCTAGCGAAAGGACCAGGCAGGCCCTGTTACTCTGGGGGATAACCTGACATGTAGTTGGGTTCACAGTCCTAGAGATCAGGAAGGATTCATATGAACAAGGACCAGAGCCCCAGAATTGCTTCAGAACCAATCCAGTTTTGACACGCATCAATACAGCCTTGGACCTACCATTCTGAAATGGTACTGGCAGATGCCTTAACGCAGTGTCAATTCTGGGCCAGAATGACATTAGCCTACAGGAATCAGAGGATGTGATGGAAGAAATATTCCTGGGTGGTTATTTCCATAATTCCCCAAAGCAAAAGGAATTCCTGATTGAGCTGCCACTGTCCTTTCATTAATATTAGTTCCAGGGCTCAACTCTCTGCTGTCCAAATAGGCAAAAGGGGTCATCTGGGCCCTACTTCATTCTCTGCTTTAACCCTCCCAATCTCCAGCTGTACCAATACATCCTAAAGTTTCATATGGAGACTGATCACAGCATTTCCTTGAGTGTCCAACTTGTTAACTTTTCTGTTGGCCCTTAGCATCTTAAACCTTGTTGGGTTCTTGAGTAGAGTAATGAACTTGTTGTAAATTGGTTTACTCTGGTGGTGGGGCAAATAAGAGTTTTTGAGATTATATTTTAATGATCTAAATTTTTAGGTCATTAGTATTCTTTAAACATATCACCATAGAAAACAACTGAGCAATGAAATATTATATAAAAGACCCTGAAAACCAAGCCTTTAACTGATTTCAAAATTAATAAAAATGCTTGCATGTATATTCCAATATTTAAAAAGGAATATATTCCATTAAAATAATTTAACTAAACCCCTCACCTGTTGATGTGGGAGTTGCTCGAAATGTCCCTGATACCATTTCCCCAAGACTTGATGAGGAATTTCCACTTGATTTCCTATGAGAGAGAAAGAAACTCCTCAGACTCTTGGAAAATAGAACTTGAGAGTATTAAAAAAAAATCTTGGCCTTAATTATACTAAATAATTCAAAGCACACCAAATCCTGCTAGAAAGCAACTTCAAGAATCTGTTCAAATGTTTTCTTTGACCTCATTTCTCAGAGGAAGAGGAGAACTAATAGTGGCCTGGAAATACTTTGCAAAAGTTATTGAATGCAGAAATTAGGCAAAAAAATCCATGGCTGGAATGTTCTGGTGAACTGCTTGGCTCACCCCATACCAGTCACCAGGTACCAGTCAGATGTCAACACAGCTCAAAACAAGCAGGAAGACCTAGAGCAACAATTTCTTCTTAAAAGTGATCATGGAGCTATGCGTGGTGGCACACGCCTGTATTCCTAGCAGCTTGGGAGGCTGAGGCAGGAGGATGGCAAGTTCAAAGCCAGCCTCAGCAAAGGCAAAGCACTAAGCAACTCAGTGAGACCCTGTCTCTAAATAAAATACACAATAGGGCTGGAGATGTGGCTCAGTGGTCGAGTGCCCCTGAGTTCATTCCCTGGCATCCCCCCACCAATAAAAAAAACAATTATGGGGGTTCAGAGTTAACAACTCACTATAAGGAGTTCTTGTTATCTGTATCCTGATAACAATAGTGTCCTGTTGGGTGCTTTGGAAAATTTCCTGAACCTGCGGAGGCCTGGGGAGCTGAGCTTCTCACTTCTCTGATGTTCTTGCCTTTCAATACTCTTGAGTATGACCCCGAAGGTCCCCCATTTGATTCTTCATTCTGTCCTTGTCACTCACTAGTTGTGGGACCTTGGCACATACAGCATGTCTTTGAGCCTTAGTTTTCCCATCTATAGATGCAGGAGCTCCCTACTCCTTACAAGGGGATATAAAGGTAAAACAGGATACTGAGTGTGAGCTCATGGCTTTATTACGGCTCCTGCCACAAAGTGATCTTTTAGTTAAAAAATCCATAATGATATTATGGATTAATAATAATAGTTACAACAAAACTTTGACGATAGTAACTCCTTTATTTATTTAACAAATATTGATTTTGTATCTGAAATATAGAAGCTAGGGATACAACAGTAGGAGTGAGGGACAAAATTTTTTCTCTTTGTATGTCACTGTATAGTAGGAGATGTCAGTGCTACACAAAATAAATAGGTAAATATAAGACAATTCTGAGAGTAATAAGTGAAAGAGAAAAAAAATTAAGTCTGGGAAAGGATTAGAAACATGGGGAAGGGGTGGGTATAGTTTTAAATATGGTGGACAGGAAAGGGGTCATTGCAGAGGTGATATTTAACAAAGATTTGAAGAACATGAAGGAGTGATCTGATGGAAATGTGAAGGAAAGGGTTCCAATGAGAGGGAACAGCAAGTGCAAAGGTCCTGAGACAGAACCATGCATCCCTGGGTGAGTTTAAGGAGGAACATGGAAAGCAAAATAACTAGAGAAGAGGGGGCAAGAGGATTCACAGTAGTAGTTTAGGCATGTTATACATTTAAAAGATTATGATTAAAAGTGGAGTTAACTGTACTTGTATGATCTATTACCATTGAAAATTATTCCCATTAGGACAAAAGCAAAAGAGACCCTAAAACCCAGGAGAGTTTTTAAAATAACAAAAGATTCAATGGAAAATGGAGGTTGAGGGTCAAAAGAAAAAAACAATTAATTACTTCTATTTCAGGGCTTCCGAGGAATTATAATACATCAATCCTTTAGTTCAAGCTGCAACACATACATGCAAGAGTGGGAGGAGGATTTTTTTTCTCTCAAACTGTGCTTATATTCCTGGGACTTGTAGCCACCTGCCCTCTGAGGCCTACATAGCTGCTTCATTAGTTCACGAGAGGCTGATTCATCTGAGCTAGACAGGGTCTTCGCGCCATTTCCAGGAGATGGCTGATACTTACAGAAAGCTCAGGTGGAGAGGGGGCTATGGGTGTCCATGCACCATCACATTCGGCATCCACTTAAGAAAGAGTCTTTGAAAGTGAACCAAGAAAAGCCACGATGGCAAGTCAGGTCAGCTCGCACTTGTTCTGAGCAACGACTGCCCACTGTGACTCTCACAGAGGAGAGTTTTGAGTTCTGAGGAGGGTTTGCTGAGGCCGCAGAAAACCATCTCCACTGTGGCATTTGTGTGGATTGCAGGGGTGCTGGGCTCCAGCATATGCAAGGGGTCCTGGGAAATCCGAAACCTTTTCAACTTCAGAAATACCCCATGCAGACAAGTATCTTTTAAAGCATATATTTTTAACTTAATAAACAAGCAAATCTAAAAAAAAATCATCTAATTTTCCTACAAGAAAGAAAGAAAAAGAAAGAGCAAGCTAGTTTACAGACAAGATGGGACCTTACCCTCCGTGAAAACGTCCTCGTTTCTGTTCTTGCTGAATCCGTATGTTCTCCAATCTGAGTGGACTTGGGATGAAGCCAATCTCACAGCCCTCTTTCACCAGCCTTCCTATCCACCAATCATTGTTGTATTTCTGGAATGCAGAAGGAAAACTGCTATCAATAGTAATTCACTTATCTTCATATTCCAGGAATTAATTTCAGGGGACCAGAAAAACAAAACACTATTCATATGATATACTATATTATATTGTATCTATGACATACAAATACTATTTATATCACACTATACTATTTACATTACAGTAAATATTTTAGGTTCATAGACTAAAGCAGGGTGCTGCAGATTTTATTCTGCAAAGGCCCAGATAGTAAATATTTTAGGCTTTGCAGGCCGTATGGTCTCTGCCATAACTACTTGAATCTGCTGTCCTAATGTGCAGTTTTTATTACTATAGCAGACACAGACAAATATAAACAAGACAGCATAGTTATGTTTCAAAACTTCTTTTCAAGTAAGGCAGTGGGCCAGCCTCAACCTGTGGGCTATAGTTTGCCAACCCTTACCAAAGCCAAGTCCTTCCCTTTGGATTCCTTTGTTCCTTGTCAAGAAGCCCTAGCTTAGATATTAACCCCTGGTTCAGAAAAGTAACTGGCAAAGATTTTCTCCCATTCTGTAGGCTTTCTCTTCACACTCATAATTGTCTCCTTCGCTGTGCAGAAGCTTTTTAATTTGATGTGATCCCACTTATTGATTCTTGGTTTTATTTCTTGAGCTTTAGGTGACTTATTAAGGAAGTCAGTCTGTGCCAATACGTCAGAGTGTTGACACTATGTTTTCTTCTAGCTGTTTCAGTGTTTTTGGTTTAATTCCTAAGGCTTTGATCTACTTTGAGTTGATTTTTGTGCAGGGTGAGAGATAAGGATCTAGTTTCATTCTTCTACATATGGATATCCAATTTTCCCAGCACCATTTATTAAAGATTATCTTTTCTCCAACATATGTTTTTGTCAAGGATTGAATGACTGTAACTATGTGAATTTGTCTCTGTGTCTTCTATTCTATTCCTTTGGTCTTCATGTCTGTTTTAAGGCCATGACCATGCAGTTTTTATTACTATAGCTCTGTAGTTAATTTGAAGTCAGGTATTCTGATGCCTCTAGCATAGCTTAAATAGCTTTGGCTATTCTGAGTTTCTTATTTCTCCATATGGATTTTAGGGCTGCTTTTCATTAGAATTCAAAAATCTTAATATCACCAAAACAAATAATCCAATCAATAAATGGGCAAATGAACTAAACAGACATTTCTCCAAAGAAGAAATACAAACAACCAACAAATACATGAAAAAAAAGTTTAGTTTCCTTAGGAATCAGAGAAAGGCAAATCAAAACAACACTGAGATATCATCTCATTACAGTTAGAAAGGCAATCATCAAGAAAATAAATAATAATAATTGCTGGAATGGATATGGGGATAAAGGTACACCTATATATCTCTGGTGGGACTGAAAATTAGTACAACCACTTTGAAAAGCAGTATGGAGAGTCCTCAAAAGACTGGAATGGAACCACCATGTGACCCAGTCATCCCATTCCTTGGAATTTATCCAAAAGATCTAAAAATGGTGGCACATGCCAACTAATATAAGCAGCACAATTCACAATAGCCAAGGTATGGAACCAGCCTAGGTATCTGTCAGCAGACAAATGGATGAAGAAAATATGGTATATCTACATTATAGGGTTTTACTCCATCATTAAAAAAAGAATGAAATTATGTCATTTGCTATAAATGGTTGGAACTGGAGAACATTATGCTAAGTGAAATAAGTCAGTCTCCTGAAGTCAAGTCAAATGTTTTCCTTCATGTATGGAAGCTAGAGAGAGGAGAGTGGGAAGGGGAATATTTTTTTTTCAAAAAGGGGGGTGTATCACAAAAATAGATGGGTGTCCAATAGAGCAGAGGGAGGGGATGAAGAAGGAGGGAAGGGCATGGGGATTTGTTGGGGAATGAAATCTATCAACTATGCTATGTGCATGTACGAATTTACCACAATGAACTATATATATGTATATATACAGATGTACACATATACATACATATGTATATACCCATATATAATTCACTGATTAAAATAAATATAATAGATGGGCAATCCAGAGTAGTGCCAGTGGATATAGGGAGGGTAAGAGAAGGTACTAAGGAATGAGATTGATCAAATTACATTATTTTCATGTACAGATATAACATAATATATCCCATTCTTATGTATAATTACAGTGCACCAATTTAAAAAAATTAAAAAGAAGCCCTAGTCAATTCTTCTGGAATACATTTTATCAGGCAAAATATGAATCAATGTAAATGGAACTATAGAAGCCAAGAGAGCTATATCTCAGATGAAATACATCCAATTCTATGTTATTTGCTAACAGCTGTCAGGTAAAAATTTCATGATACTATATGTAGTCTACTCTATTTCAAATACAGGTTTCAAATTAGGGTCCATCTTATTATATGAAGAAAAAGAAGTCTACTCTTATAAAGTCTGAGCCTATTTTAGATCTGTAGGAAGAATTTTTGGGAATAATCTTCAAATGGCCTGAAGCCAACAAGAACTCCACAATTTCCACTCAAATAGGCTTCATGACATGTAAACTTGAGACACAAGTCCACACAAAGGTTTCAACCAACATGGGGCAAGACACAGTCAACGGACCTTATTTGATGTGTCAGCAAAACTGCATTTGTAATTATTGATTTGCTGAATCCTGAGGCAGGAGGCAATTTAGTCCAAGCCACCAGCCTCAAGGGAAGGTTTCAACTAGGTCATTTTTAGAAAAAAAGATATCAATTCTATTATTTAAACCCTCTAGAGATGAATATTCCCAAAACTTCCTTCATTATCTTTACCAGTGTTGAAAAATGTGTGTGTGTGTGTGTGTGTGTGTGTGGTGTGTGTGCTGCGTGTATTTCAAAAGGCAATAACTACATGTAGGATGATTTGCTTAGCTTAGAGAAATGCAGAGTTACATGTCTATGATACTGACACATTTGAAGGAAGCACGGATGGTTACCTTGGATCTTTACAGCATGAAATTCTGAGTAACTTTGAGTAATTCTGAGTAACCATCTCACACGCAAAAGAAAATGACAGGGTAGGAGCTGGCCTTTTATTATGCACACAGCTCCTGTAAGAGGCACGTAAGGCATGAAGTATGAGCCTGCATTGAAAGAAACGTGAGCTGACCTGATAGAAAAACCTTAACAATGAGGTCTTGGTTTTCCTCACTTTCCGGTCTTTTATTTCAGGATAACAGGCCTGAAATAACAAGCCTGTTTATTTTGTAGTTAAGAAAAGGCAAGTGGACCCTTTTAGAATCTTTGGTGTATAGGTCTGGAATTTAAATTTTACTGTGGTAGGGACAAAACAGAGCATGAGTCATCGTTTCCTAGGGCTTAAGTTATTTCCTGAAATTAAGTTAGCCCACTGGAATACTAATTTGTTAAATAGTACCCAAGCGATCTTAAAGGGCTTCCAAAAATGTTTAATCAAACTCCCCAAAATGTAGGAAACAGCTTAGGCTGAGGCAGAGTCTGACTCAGCGAGGGGGCAAGTTCTGTGAGCTACTTGGTAGTAAGTCACGATGTGAATCCAAGAGCTTAATTCACTCATAATTTGGCTTGGGGGGCAACAAAGTCACTTTTCTCTGCATGCAAGATTTTTCATTACTGAGAAAGTACTTAGAAGGGTGCCTAAGAGATGGCTGTCTAGGTGACAGATGAGACAAAAGATTATGACTCGATGACAGAAATGTGTTTGTGTTGTTGATATTCCTGGAGCTTGTGCCAGCTTTCTGGAAAGGTCACCTTAGTGTTGTTCCAATCTTTTTCAACTTCATTCCCTAAAAGGATTAGGATATTCTCTTTCTAAGATCTTTTTTTTTTTAATCTGATTTTTCAAGAACTGAAAACAAGCGGCTCTGGTCTACGTAGGATTACCAGGTCAATACCACACATCAAATGCCAGAGAAAGTCCCTGATTGAAGGTATACAGACCTAAAAGCAACCAACAGGACAAGAGAATATTGATATTAGAATATTGATCAAGAGGAGCATGAAGCCTCCAAACTCAAAGTAATGATAAGGAGATAGAAACATTAATTACCCTGATTTGATCAGTACATAGTATCAATGGATCACACTATATCTGATAAATATGTACCTGATAAATATGATATTAATCTAAAACTTCAAAACAAATGTTAAAGAGATAGAAATGTTAACTATCCTGATTTGATGGCTACATATCATATACATGTATCAAATGATTGCACTGTGCTCCATAAATAAGGACAATTGAAGTAATAATTAATAAAAAAGAGAAATACTGATAGAATGTAGAAAAGCGATCAAGTACAGCAGTGTTAGAATATTTCTTTTTTTTTTCTTTTTAGTTGTCAACGGACCTTTATTTTATTTTTTTATATGCAGTGCTGAGAATCAAACCCAGTGCCTCACACATGCAAGGTAGGTGCTCTACCACTGAGCTACAATCCCAGCCCCCTCAGAATATTTCTGTGAGTGTGTGTGTGTAATATGGGAGAACTTCCCTTATTTTTTAAAGTGTTGCTTCTCCTTAGAAACACTGGTAGTTGGCAACTAATGAACATGGTTTGTTCTTTTTTTTTTTTTTTTTTTTTTTTGGTATTTGGGATTGAACTCAGGGGCACTTAACTACTGAGCCACATCCCCAGCCCTTTTGTATTTTATTTAGCGACAGAGTCTTATTGAGTTGCTCAGGGCCTCCCTAAGTTGCTGAGGCTGGCTTTGAAGTCACGATCCTCCTGCTTCAGTCACGTGGGATTACAGGCGTGCACCATTGTGCCCAGCAACCTTGATCATTTTTTATGGAAATGGTGAGATAAAATCAACTTAACCAATCTTACGCTGAGGTGCATGTTTCAGGTCAAGGGTCCTTGTCTTCTAGGTAAATGTGGGTATCCTCACCTTGTCCACCATGGAGAAAATGGAAGTCATGAAGTTGATGTCCCTAGTTTCCCATTCCACAGGCTCTATGCCCATAGTCATCTTTTTCCTGAATGTAACTTAACAAGTGCTCCTCTTTCAAGGTCTTTCCCTCCACTCTGGGTCTGAAGCCCACCCTTCTTGCCTACTCAAAAATTTTACCCCTTGGCCCATCTCTCCTATCCACATCTCCCCCTCAGTTGTTAATATCAACATATGTAGATGCTCCAGCAGCTCCCACTGTGAAAGAAAACCTCCTTTGACCTGGACCCTCCAAAGTCTATAGGCTGGTCAATGTTAACCCCCTTGCAAGCACTGTCCATACATGCTAACCCATTTCTTTATGCCCCCTTGTCTCCTCACTACATTTTGTTTAGCTTCCATCTCCACAATTCCACAAACAATGGTCCCACTGACCTCCATGCTGCTGAACTAGACTTACAGAATGCAGAGTTTCAAAGACAATGATTTTCAAAAAGGATTATATGTTTGCACATCTCATTTTTGACTGGGGGGGCAAGTAAGGGCAGTTTGGACTCAGTGATGTTAATTGATGTATTTATGTTTATCACATTCTTTGGGACCTCCATTCTCAGGTTTCACTTCATTGTTCTTCCTTCATGCTCACTTTTCTTTAAGATTCTATTTCTCACCTCCAGCAGAGCTAGTGGAGATTATCGAGTGGAAACACCCTCCAATGGATGCCCCTCCCCATTGGGAAATTCTGTACAGAACAAGGAAGTTCAAAGAAGATGAGGCTTTCCACCAGACTCAGCCCAAGTCTCGTGTTCATCTTCCAGATGTTGTCTCCTCCCTTCTTCTCTAGTCCCTCTCTTGGTCATCCCTTTCCCTTCCAATTTATTTTACAGGGTTAAACACCTCAGCATGGAAAACAAACAAATCTTCCTCATCCTAAAAAGCAAAACATGTACAGCAAATTTTAAAAAGGCTTCCACAGCCCTATGCTATCTTCCCCTAGCTAAAAACCATTCTTCTTTCAACCCAAAGCATTTAGGGAAAAAACACAATTACAATTTCTATTATCTGGCCTCCACATGATGTGGGTAAGGACTTTTCAAGCATCTTTACAGGAAGTTTCACAACACCCCAGATCCAGTGCATCTAAGAGCAAATTCATAACCATGTTCACCCTTGCAACAAATCTGCTCCCCTCTCCATCTTCTCTGCTTTGATAGCTGATACTAGAGGCTAATGCCATCTTATATCCTTCCAAGCAAGCCAGAAAAACTGGTCTTCATCCCTCATTTCTCTCTCCCTTATTCTTCACCATGTGCAATCTCCATATTCTATTTGCCCCTTAACTCTCTCTCTCCAAGCCACTCCCTATCTCCATCTTTTCTGCTAACACTACTGTCCAGCCTCCAGAATGTCTTGGCAGGCCTATGCCCTGCTCCCTTGCCCACTGGTGTTACTCTACTTACAAGATTGGTTATATCTGTCCTTTATTTCCAGTTTCTCTTTAGTCTGCTATGTGGTAATAAAGACCAATCTTCTCACCATGGCCCAAGAGATCCTTTTAAAAATCTGGCTCTTGCCTCTCTGATCCAGACCTTACTCTCATATCACTTCTACCACTGCCCTCCAACCATAATTCCACCAAGTGCCCAGCCCTGTCCCAGCCTGGACTACCTCAAGTTTCACCACTTCTGTAGAGCTTTATGATCCCCTGACCTTCTTCCTCCCCTATGAGATGGTCCTTCCACCTCTTCCTGTGGGCTTCCACAACATCAATCAAATTTTTTATAATAGAACTTGTCATTCCATGCAGAAACTATGAATACTTCTCTGTCCCTCCCATCAGACTCATAGTTCTCTGTCCATGGGGATGGTGATCCTTACGCCTGATCCCCCAATACCTAGTACAATGTCTGACATGAAGTAGAATTTCAACATACCTGGTTTGAGTAAATAAAAAAGTTTGATGTCACTATTCTGCCTTTCTAGATTTGAGGCCTGAAGTCTTCCTTGCATTATTCAATTCCTGAAGTGCTGTTTCCCAGCATCCTCTGCTATTTTTTAAAACTCTAACATTATCTTCTAATGATGACATACTCTGGTGTTAATTCCAAAATCAGTTCATAGGACTATTACCCAGTGTCTATAATTATAACATCCCTTATGAATAGTCCCATCTAGGTAGGTGCCGTGATACCAAACTTATGATTCCCTAAGCTGGATCCATAGATCAATGGCTCTGTAGGCACACAGACTGATTAAAAGATGGTTTGGGAAGTAACTCAATGGTGCAGTGCTTGCTCAGTATGCATAAGATCCTAGATTTGATTCCCCAAATTGTTTTGTTTTTTTAAAAGGTAACCAGAGAACCTAAGGTCTGTCCTAGATCCGTCCTATGATTTCAAGGATGGACCAAGATCCAATGTTGTAAGTACATGACAACACCAGCAATGAGCACACACTCCTGCCTCTCACTGAGACTGAATGCATGTAGAGGGCCCAGAGAATTGAATGAGGCACCTCACTAGCAGCTCCTCAGTTCTCCTCATTGGTGAGTTTAGCTCAGAGTTGATTTCCAGCTTTGGTTTTATGGCAAGTGAAAAGATGCAGTGTGTCCTACATTTACCTCTTTAATGTGTAGAAAGTCCTTGGCATCAAAGGAGATGGCTGTGCTTGGAACAGGCACATCCTCATCCAGAGCTCCACAATAGCTCACATTCGTCTTCACAGCAAAGGCTACGGGTTTGGACTAGAGACAGAACCGCAGAAGAAGGAGTGAGGGAGGGAGGAAGAGAGATGAGCAGTTTTCATATTGCAATGTATCATAAGATGATTGATGGTACCAGGCAGCAAGGGAAATCACTTTCCAGAGAGGGATTCTCTTAGGTTTTATATTCCCAGGTAATATCAAGAAATCTGCAGAAAATGACTCTGAAAATGATTCAGTCCTACCAGCCCCATCACTTTTCCTCTCCTGTAGTACTTTCCAACATCCCAAATAAAGAGCTGTCCCCTAAAGTATTAGGGAGGATGGAGAGAGGTGGGGACAGTCTCCGCATTGTACTCTAGTCATAAAAGTTATTTCTTTTAAACAGTAACAAACATCCTCCCACCTAAGGTTGCAGGAAATATGTTCTGGGTATTTTTTAAAGGGTTGGGAAGTTGGTAAGGTAAGTATTTTTGAAATAACCTCATATCTGAAAATCAATAAGATCTCATGCAGGAGAATACCTTGTCTGACAGGGGAAAAAGGGGCCAGTCTGGATGAAACCCAACAGACAGGGCTCTTCATTCATTCCTTCCTAGCTTACAAAAGCTGGTTCTCAAACTCTTCTTATACAAATTCTTAAAGCATTCATGAGTTGGTGCAGCCTTGAAGGGGCAAATCAAGACACCAGTCTTAGCTAATGGTGCTGCCGTCAATATCTGGGTGACCATAGTAGCCACAAAATTGATTCCAAAAGAGAATTTTAAAACATAAATTAGCCACATATGAGACACAACGTTCCTGAAATTCTGGGCTGCTTTTTTACTAGTTCATTTATTTGCATAGGGAATATGGCTGGGGGTCAATGGTTGAGACAGGACACAAGTTAGAGTCTCACTGATGTCCACAGAAACCTCACAGGAATTGCTGAAAACAGAGCACAGATCTATAGATGTCAAAGCCAACAAAGACATCTCAGGCACCTGTATCATTTTCTTGTTGCTCTCTAAAAGATTTTATTGTAAAAAGAGAAAAGGGAAAGAATTCATTTTATTTGGGCTTGAGTTTTTCTTTTTAAAATTAGAAAGGCTAAATCAACGAATCCTTGGAGTCTGTCATAGTGAGCAAAAGGAAAGGCTGGCCATGAGTTCTATTTTTTATGTTGCTACTGTAGATGAAAATTCATTTGACAAAAGGGTCAAAGGAACAAAGAAAAAAAATAGAATGGGAGATTGCTAGTGATTCTCCTGGTTCTAAAATTCAACCATGGAATCTATTCTGTGTTGTTTCCTATGGGTCTACCGGGAGAGGAGTATCTGAAGGTCTAATCTGGTAATGGCTTTCATCACACATCTTTGCTGCTTCTGTCTGAGTTGTTTGAAGTGTGAAACTTAGCCAGGTGTGGTGTTGCACACCTGTAGTCCCAGCTACTCAGAAGGATGAGGCAGGAGGATGGCTTAAGCCCAGATGTTTGAGAACAGCCTGGGCAACATAATAAGACCCCATCTCAAAACAAACAAAACAAAAGGAAAGTTCTGGACTTCACACTGAACTTGAGATGGAAGATTGAAACCTAGAGCGAGAAGAGGAGAGAAACCAGTAGGGAATCCACAGAGCTACAGTACATGCGTGGCTTGTAATAAAGGCTATGTAACAGACAAGGGGAGGTGGTCAAGATGACGGGGCACAAGCCGGTACCTTAGGAGGCTCTCTGCCAACACTAGGCATGGCAGGCTTGATATTGCCACATTGCTAAGTTACAAGATGTCAAAGAATTCACCATCAAACCAAACATAAAAGGATGAAGGGTCTCAGGAAATGGCCCTCTGGGAATGTTACTAATCTATCTTACAAGTGAATGGTCCAGAGAGGTTAACAATCTGGAGCTTTATCATAATGATCAGAAAATGATTATTCTAGAGTAACAATGTAAGGCAGGGAAAGGCAGCTGACAGCTGCTGAGCGACTGTCAGTTTTTGAACCAAAGAAGGGGAAGAAAGTCACCTTTGCTCTCTCAAGTTGGATAGCCGCTTGCTGTTCTCTCTCCTGTCGAATTGCTTCCCGATCCTCTTCCAAAGAGACATCGGAGTCAGACGGCCTGCTTGTGTAGGAATCCGCTGAACCCTGGAAAGAGAATACAGAAAGGTTTAAGTGAGGTGACGTGTAGCTTAACTGTCATAGGCATAACAGTATCCTGGGGTGAGTTCCTTTCATTTGCATAGAATCTGATGCACGCACTCTGAGCCTTATTGCAGATATAAATTTAGATGGCAGAATATAATTATGCATCTGAGTTATTTGGAAGGTAGCAATGTTGTGAAGGGAAATATTTTGAATAGATTAAGTGCTGGGAAGTAAACTGCAAAGAAAACGATGCGATGTTCAGCCCCAATTCTAGTTTAGTGCTATCTTTATAGTAAGCCCATACTCATTTGTGGAACTGAGGTTTCTTTCATTCTCTCCTTTGCATATACTGAACATCTCAAGGAAAAAGAGGCTCAGTTATTATAGGAGCTAAATCCTACCTGTATCTTGGGTTACAGATCATCAATTTGTCTAAGATTTCAACACAGCATAGCAGCATCCTACATTAGTAAAGTGACTTTTCCAGTTTCAAGGTCAACACCATTGAAATCTTTCACTATTAAATTTTCAACCATTGTTCTACACCAGTCAGTATGTAGTTAATATGGACACTGAGAAGAAAAACATTTTGAGACAGAAACAGGGGTGTTCTCAGTTGAAGCCCATGCCCAGAAGGCCTATTTGATCAATACTAACATGTAGCCTGACTCATGTGGTCAGGGGGCTGGAGATGCTCATGCCATAAGGAGAGAGGAATTCCAGAGCAGTAAGTTAAAGTTATCTGCCCCACCCCCACCCCCACCCCAAATAAACAAGCCTGGAGGCTTATCTTCTGGCAGCTCAAGGAACATAGTCACTCTTACAATTCCTTCAGCTGGCATTAGAAGTTGATATTTGCATAGATGATGACATTTATACAGCAGAGGTATTGGTAGGACTGCTGCACTTGGCACATTTCATAAATAGATCTATGTATTTATGACAAGCATAGATCTATCCACATAATGGAGAACTGCAAAAACATTAAAATAAATAAAACATTTTAAGAAATAGTTGACTGGCCCTTTGAAAGTTTTTCTAAACTTGGAAGTGTTTATTGTGGGTCTGTGGGGGTAGCTTAGCAGTAGATCTCTTGCCCAGCATGCACAAGGCCCTGGGTTTGATCCCTAATACCATAGGAAAAATAAAAAACAAAAATGAAAAACATGAAAAAGAAAAAACAATGTTTATTGTGAATTTGCTGCCTATGGGGGCACCTTTGTCTCTCAGTAGAGAGCATCATTCCAGCTATGGTGGTGTTTCCTATAATAGAAAAACCCCAGTACAGATATTCTGGCAGCCTAGAAGAACAACTCTCAGTTAAAGGTTTTATCAGCGTTCTCAAGCAAGCCCAGTTTTACACTGTGACTTTGGAACACACTTCTGAAAACTATGCAAGTTACTGGATTATTCTGAGAAAGTCTTCTTCTCTATAGAAGAGGGACATTGATTGCCTACTTCACAGGATTAAATGGAATAAGATACAATGAGGCACTAATGTTTATTGAGTGCTCACTGCTGCACCCGCATGGGGCTAGATGCTTTGCACACCTTATCACTCTGAATCCTTGCAGCAGTGAGGAAGCTGAGATGTCAACTTGATTAGTTCAACCATAAAGCCAGCAGCAGGTTCAAAGTCCATGCTAAGCAGGCACACAATAAATTATCTTTCTTATCTCCATGTCCTAATACCAACATTTCTACATCGACTTAAAAGAAGATCTAAGAAATTATATTCATTTTTCAACATGTACAATAGCCCATCTTGAAATGTAGCCATTCTTCTTAACTGTATTTGCTGCATAGAAAGCATGCTGTAAATTTGATAACTGCAATGTGTCCAAATTCATGTATGGAATTTAGCACTTTTGAAAGTGTCCTTAACAGAGGAAACACATTTGTTAATAAAATTATAATCAATTCCTCTGTGCAAATCTACAGGAGAAAAAAAAAAAAAACTGAACCTACCAAAGGGATAAATGTAGACTGATCCTTACAGATGCATTCATTAGCTAAAAGGATATCTACCTTGAAATCCATTAACACAGTGAGTTCTCTCAGAATATATATTTTTGTCCAAAGTTATATACACCTGTATAAAATCCAGGCTAAGAGAGAAAGGAAGTGATGTTTCTAAAATATGTATGGAAAGAATTTGGAGTCGGTCCTTGGCAATGCTTTGCCAGCAGTATGGTCCATGGAGCTGCCCATTCTAACGTGTTGGATTAGCTCCCCTGAGGTCTCTGGACCACAAAATGATAACAGTGTAGAAGCCAGGAGGAAGGCACTTGCCTTGTGTGGGGAAAAGAATAGTGACTATAATTCACAAGAAAGCGGGCTGCCCGCTGGAGCAATGAGTCAAACAGCTATCAAACATACGCAATCCAGCCTTGCTACCAGGAGATGGCTAATTTCCTGAAACTACCTTAATGACTTTCAAATCCTGGCATTCAGTCATCTCTGAGCACAAGAGAAGCAACTCAAGGACTCCTGTAAACACACTTTATTTTGAAATGTGAACTACACCGCAGGAATCCCAAAATTACTTAATAAGTTCTACCATGGCCAAATGGGAGCAGAAGTTTCTGTTTACGTCCCTATTTCTAAGAATATTGATGGAGATAAAAATAAAGCACTGTGATACCCAGTTTCATAATTAGTATTATATTACCACAACATTCATTCGGTTTCTTTTTCCAATGTCATCTATATTTCTTTGACTATGAAAATCATTCTGGACATCTCTCAAAGTCCCAGTGAGTGATAGCGGAGGCCCAACATCAAGAGCCCAAATTTGACCCATGGACATAGTTCTGCTGGTTCCGTGATGATTTGGTTTCTTGCTTTTATTTGTTGTTTTTAAAATATTATTTCAACCAGTTAAAAAGAGTACAAATATGTCTCAGAAGAAAGAAGGGGAAAGATAGGAAAGGATCTGGGCCAGAAAAATGCTCATAGACTTCTCGATCTCCAGAAGCAGGGGCCAAATAGATTTCTATTGTGTATAGATTTAAAAAAGAAAAGGATCTGGTTGTTCACAGAGGCAGAGGGGGAAAGAAGGGCAAGCCAGCAACAGGGAAGCCAAGAGGAGACCTCCTGAACCAGACCCGAGGAAGGACCTGGAAAGAAGAGGAGGCTGAGGCAGGCTTGGTGAGACTGGGACGGTAGGAGGGGGTTACCCAGAGGTCTGAACAGACTTTTAATGATCAAGAAAAGAGAAATGGCAAGAAGGAAATAAGGCCTAGATGCTAACAGGACAGAACCGAGGACGTGAAGATCAATAGTCCTGGCCACAGCTGGAAAATGCAGTCCCATGAGCTTATGATTGTTCAGAAATTCATTTCATAAAATGGTTGAGGAGTGATCTACTCAACTCATCCAGTGATCTAAAGTTGGGCTATTGACCCATCGGTGCAAGAGGCAGGACAGTGACTAGGCCCTCAAAGGTTCTTAAGCAGATATCATTGAAGGTCTCATCTTCAAGCTTCCAAGGAGACAATCAAACCAATTGCAGACTTGGAGCCTCCAATGAATAGAATATTTATATATTTATATATAGAGAGGATATTATATAGTTTCTATATAAAGACATAAATGTGTGTGTATACATATATACACACAAACATGAAGAAATATATAAAGAGACTTTCAGCAAGTGTGAGTGTCTGTGTGTATGTAAGTTATTTTAAAAATTATAAAAAAATGCATTGTATCCAGGCCCGGTGGGTTGGGCTTGTAGTTCCAGCAACTCGGGAGGCTGAGGCAGGAGGATAGCTTGAATCCAGGAGTTCCAGGCCAGTCTGGGCAACACAGCAAGCTCTCGTGTCCAAATAAATAAATAAACACAATAAAGAATGCATCCTAGTGAACATCAAAAGAAAGAAACACATACCTTTCCATTAACATAAGGTCCACACTCTTTTTCACTTGAATTCAATTTGAAAAAAAAAAAAAAGATTCTAGCCTTATTCCTTTCATGAACTTTTGAGTATGAAATACAAAATGCTGACACAATCATTGGAAAATCCTTCTATTGTTGTTTCCAGGTAGAAAACAGATGATCTCTGGTCAAACAATGGAAGAGCTTCACATTCACAGACAGGGTGTGTGAGCAGCCCTAGGCTTTGGTTGCAGGCAGTGCTGGGTTTACACTGTCACCAGCTCTTGTTGGCAGTGGATATTGGGTAAGTTATTTTAAACTTCTGAGTCCCAAATTCCTTCCTTTGTAAACATGGCTAACAATGTACCCACTGCAGAGTTTCTGGGAGTTTGATTTGAGATAAAACATCATTTTTTTATAACTATCATGGGGAAAATTCAGGAAATGTAAGCAATTAATCTTTGACTCCCTAATTAATGGTTTGGCAGCTTTTCAACAATAATTTTTTGGTCATTCCAGAGTTCTAGGATATAGATCTTTTTTTAAAAAAAACAGCTTTATTGAGTTATAATTACATAGTATAAAATTCACATGTTTTAAGTGTACAATTCAATGATTTTTAATAAATTTACAGAACATAATTTACATACACCACACTCTAAAATTAGAACATTTCTATCATCTCAAAAGAAACCTTGTGGGGCTGGGGTTGTGGCTCAGTGATACAGCACTTGCCTAGCATGTGTGAGGCACTGAGTTGAATTCTCGGCACCACATATAAATAAACAAAATAAAGGTCCATTGACAACTAAAAAAAAAAAAAAAGAAAAGAAAGAAAAGAAACCTTGTGCCCGTTTGCAGTCACTCCCCATGCTCATCTCTACACTCCGGTATCCACTTTCTTATCTTAACCTTTTAAAGCTGAAACAAATGTTCTCTTTTTAGGAATAACTTTCAAGTGTATATGTATCATTGAATTAAAGCCAGGAGAAGGGAAGTCTACAAAAGTTTGGTTTCAAAATACAATAATAGTGGATCAAAATCTTGCTATTGTTGGGACTGTTGGCCTACGTCATCCAACAGTGCTGGGTCTCTCACTAACTAGCTTAGCTGTCCATTC